CTAACAGCAAAATCTCGAAAGGTACCATTTTTGTATTAAAGAAAATAACAAAATATTTTCCGTGCCGAACAAAATACGACTTTCAGGTACACAAAAAATAACGTTAAGTCTTTTCTACGGCTTCCAAACATGATTTGTGCAATAGTCCAAGTATCGTAGATGTTTTTAAGCTTTTTACCTATGTTCTAGCATAGCTAGAAAGGCAGAAATCCGAGTTTTTCGAAGAGGTGTATTTTCGACGCCTACCGTCCATGGCGGCCATCATGAACAACTTCAAAGATGGCGGCCGAGTTATCGTTCCAGTCTTATTAGAGTTCACTGGTTTCATATTGTCAAAATCAAGTGTCCGCTAATTTGCTAAACACATGCGGGCCCGACTGGCCAGCGTTTACTGTACATGCAAGAATACTAGTAATACTTAATGTAATAATATTTAATAAATGGAAATCAAGAAAGTTGACTCAACACAACTGTTCAAAGAAAATTTTCTCAAAATTCCCTAGGATCCCAACATGTGACAGGCATGCTCCGACTTGCAGATACACAGTAATAAAAAAGATTTTGTCAAAAATAGACTTGCCATTGAAGGGTATGGGCATGGTCCCCCAGAAAATGTTGTGAATTACAGAACCGGAAAGTACATCTCCAGCCATTTCACATTGTAATTTTAAATACTGAATATTAATTATTAAAGAAAAAATATTGTGGAATGCTCTTTGTACCAAATTTCGTCCACTGGACTAAAATGATGGCTTTGATTAAAGTGGAAGTTAATTCCTTTCTGCACATCGGTTCTGCTCATAACAATGTGAGGACCCTCTCATGTACATTGCCCAAATTTCGAATGTTTCGAATTTTTCTGAACATAAACTCTATTTCATATTCGTTTAGAAGCATAGTGAACCAAAATTGTGTTAGATATTCACACAGTACATCATATTTTAAAAAATACAGCAGTTCAAAATGTAAACAAACCGTTTGTTTACATTACGGACTTTAATAAATTTGCTGGCATCGCATGGGATTGTACGTCCACTTGCAGCTCGCAACTGAGTAATCAAAATCACTTGCAGCTACGCACAAGGAATTAGATTAAGAGAATACCGAATGGTTTTCTGTGCAGGATAGCGTGATCCCTGCACACGGGATGTTGCGAGACTTTCGGAAAGCGTGAAAATACACGAGCCGCAGGCAAGTGTATTTTTACGCTCTCCGAAAGTCGAACAACATCCCAAGTGCATGGATCATGCTATCCTGCACGGAAAACCATTCGGTAATTGTTTTATAAAATTACTACAGTGAACCGACAGTTAACTTGATTAAAATTACTGATGAAAGGGGAAGTTCTCACAACAATCGTGAATTAACCAATACTCCACGCTATTGAAAACAACAACAAATGTGAACAGAATTTGATCACAAATTCGCGAAAATATACAGCAAAAATACAGAGACTTTTTCAATAAAATATACAAAATTTGAAATGGAAAACCAGCTATACAGAGAGCCAAAGTAGTTTTGAAGATTCTCAACCTGAATACTTGAAGATTGCGAAGCGTTTGAACTTTGAAGCGAGAGATGTTGTACTTGCCATGGTCTGATGAATTTCAACACTACATGTTGCAACTTGCTGCGCAGCAATGTATCGATTAGAAATTTATTCATACAACTAAACCAATGTCTCAATAATTGCAAACTTACTTCAAAGTGAAAGGTATGGTACAATGAAACTTTACTATGCGAGTAGTATATTTGTAAAATTATGTGCAAGAATTTCTGTTCAGAATTTCCTGTGCAGGATTGTCTGATCCTGCACGGCTGTTGACCAATCAAATTGCGTGTTTCACTGCTGCAGTAGTGCAGTTATTATGCAGGTATCAGCGGCTTTCCCGGGGGGTCGACCCCCGGGCAACTCACGGGCAACCCCCGGGCATGGCACAGAATTTGTTTTAAAATCACGCCCCAGAGACCCGGGATTTAGCCTACATTTGTATTTTGAAAATTAATTTTAACCCCGGGGGCAAACGCCCGGGATTTGCATATGGACTGCTGCTATATCGGTCAGCGGTGATTCATCAAAAAAATTCTTAATTATGATTTTTGAAGACGCTTCGAACCTTCGAAGTTCGAAGCAAATTTGAAGCATTTCGAAGCACATGAACAATATACCGTTGATTGCAACTATAAAGCAGAAACATGTCATGAGAAAACTTGTCCAATTGGCTGTCAAACATGATTTGTTTGGACTTGAAATTTGGATTTGAAATATTGACACTCACAGTCAACTGTCAATATTTCAAATTTAGAAACACATTCATATTGGGCGGGGATTAGCTTGCAAATCCGTGATTAAATTCGTCTGAATTAAATTCGATGTATGAAACAGGCCTTATATTTTGTGTTTATAGTGGACAAATTCAGTATTGCGGTTTGCAATGTTTGTACTAACGTTACGTTTGTTACGTTTTCGCGGAAAAAATAATTGTAAACCGTCAAATGTTTCCAGCAAAATCATGTAAAGATTGAAGTCCAAACATGTTGTGTTTCATGTCCAATTAGCCTGCGTAGCCGGCAGTTTTAAGGGTTGGGGTTGAGGCACGGGCAACGAAAATTAGGGAGGCGAGGCAAACCGCTGGCTACGCAAGCTATGTCCAATTTATAGATCGCGTTTTCTCTGCCTCGTACCCAGGCGTTTTGGTTTGTACACGTGGGACGACACGCGAGCAATAGAACAACATACCGCCTGGGTACGAGGCAGGCTTTTTCTCATGACGCGTTTCCACTCAGTAGCAATCGATATTGTCAATGGTAGGCGAGTGTAATTTAATCCTTTTATTTATAAATGAATAATTAGCCATCAATCCTCAATAAAAGTTGGAAACACCAGAATAATTGTTTGAAACTATAAAGGACACAAACTTTTTAAACGTTTTGTATCGGATACTGATTTATTAAATAGGTTAAAATAGCAAACGTATTAATAACAAATGTCCCGATATAAAATTGTGTATGAATTTTTAGTTCAAAAATATCTTCTTTACGGCCTACGCTTCATTGTTTATTGAACGAGATGCCCAAAATTATGTTGATAAGTATGTTAACTTACTACAAAATTTCTTTGTAAATAACCATTTGTTATATTTGAAATTATTGTTTTCCAAATTTCGCCCCGGAGGTAGGGGTATTTGTGACAAAATTTTGCCCCAACACACGGGCATTAGTGTCCTTTTGTCAAGGCTGTTTTGACAAATCCCCGGGGTGGCCCGGGGGTCGACCCCCCGGGAAAGCCGCTGATACCTGCATTATATAAACTAGTTTTCCAACCTGGCACTCAAACACCCAATTTGAGATTGTATATTTTACTACGATCATTAACAATAATTTGGTTAAAGTATACATCTCAGAATTATTCAAGACTTACTTTAATTCTTTAATTTGCACTTCATTCACATCTAAGGATTTTGACTTTTCATCTCCAGCTCCAACCTGAAAATGTTTGAATTTACATTACCCACAATGATTATTGTGCTATTGATTTAATATTGAAGACCAAGTCATCCAGTGTAGATCTGCCATAAAAGTTTATCAATCATAATTGTATTAAAATCTTACCGAAGCAGTTATGTAAGCAAGATAATTTGAAAGAGCTGCATCGATAGGGACATGAAAAGAGCTTGCTGACGTTGCACCAGTATTTTCCAGACTTACAACAGCATTGCACTTTACCACTTGACTTGATATATCAATAGACCGAATTACTTCGCTATTGTAAAGCTTTTCATTAATCGACGCTTGCAGTGAGATACGGCATAAACTACAGATTGTAAAGAAGATGACAAGCTGCAAATGAATGCGTTCCATAGTCTGATGGAAGAGATTTTTTAGGATTCTAAAATAATATCGAATCCAACTGGGAATCAAAGCATGAAAGAGAACAAAGCTAGGACTAGGAGCCTAGGAAATACACCAGCTTAGCAACCGCGCAGAATTTTTCACTTGTACACGTTGAACAAATCCGATTGGTTGATAAAAAAATTGCCGGTGGCTTTGATGTCGGAGATAATAAAAATAGGTACGCCCAAAGGTACGTAAAGAACTGAGGACGATTGTAGCGTGGAGGCAAAATATAACCACTCAGCACAGCATTTCAAAATGCCCTGGGCACGAGGTTGGATTGTAGCTTAATCCTAGGTTAAAAGTAAACGTTTATAGCAAATTTTACAATGTTTATAAACTTAGAAATATTTCTCCAGAAATATTGCCTGAATCAATAAAAGTTTTTTAAAACAAACCGACCTGAATGTGCAAATCAAAACAGCAGGTTAAATTTTAAAGATGCTGTAAAGTCCGTTCTCGGCGCATATATTCTGGGCATCAACACATTCCAACAGTGGGGGAGCAACCTTTGGAATGTTGTTAATATTTCGCACCTTCCGAATTTTCTTGAATTGAATCTCGAGTCTGCATTCATTTACAAGCATAGCGAGCCGGAAGAGTGTTAAAAATTCAGTATAATGTATATCTAATCATATTTTACAACTGTAGCACTGACTTCAAAATGTAAACAAAGCGTTTGTTTACATCACGGACTTTACATCACCTTTAATCCAGGGTTAGCTCAAATTGTAATTTGAACAACCAGGGGTTTTAACTATGTGACTTTTTAACTATTTAACTATATATATGCCTGCAAAGCTACGGCCCCGTTGTCCCCCCCCCCCCTCCAGTCAACCATTTTGCCCCTCCCAGACATAGTCGACTTTCTCTAAAATATAAGCAAAACATTCTACGAAAAGAGGAATTTAGAAGTGAGGTTTGATATTCTAGTAACTGATCCTAGACTTGCTAACAAGTCGACCTCGAACGTCGCTCGATGAATTCGCGAGCAGCGTGCGACGAAGTCGCGACCTCTGAACTATATAACATATACAATGTATATATAATATAGTGTATATACAATGTATATAGTTCGTATATAATGTATATAGTATATATAGTGTACATAACATATATAATGTATATAGCTATAGTGCGCGACTTCCTCAAATTCCTTACTCTTCAAGAAATTACTTCCTTGAAAATTCCTTCGTTCTAAACAAAGACGAAGGACTTTGCAAAAGTCTATACTGAACCTTACTTTGTGAATCTTATGTCTCGTCTTTCATTTTTGAATGATTCAATGCCTTTTTACAAACACTAAACATTGTGCTGTAAATACCAGCAGATAGCGATATCCTAGACCCCATAGATTTGAGTTGTTGGAAGGCTAAGCTAAAATTAAAAAAAAGTCAGTGACCGAGTTGTGGTATTTACCATGCAAATATTTAACTGAAATTTCAGTCTATCTCAGTTGTAAATTATAACGCTGTATATCCAAAAATCTGTTTTACAAAACGCTCGAAATGTAGTCTTAGGATTGGAAAAATACAAACATTTTTGGGAGGAAACCCCAGAGGCCAGACCCTCTCCCCCACAATACTACTATAACATACGAGACCACGCCAAATTTTTCGAAATCATCAACTATCATCTCCCTACACTAAAGTATGGTATGATTTCCTTGGTCGTCGTACCCCTACGGACGACAAAATTTTGGAAACGTCCTTGTGAACAACTGTCCCCAGATCTCAAACCTAATTAATTCAAAAGGATGCTCTATCCAGTCCTTTGAAGCCAGAAAATCGACAATGAGAAGATTTTTTCTGGGAAATGCAACTCAAGTCTGATAGTTTTTTGAAATAACATAAAACGCAGAAAAAAATTATAATCTAATAATAGACTTGACCCTAAACCCATTAATTAAGTACCTAACACTAATTTGTGTGACTGGGTATGAATTCAAACTCATCACCAACTGCTAATTCACATTGCTTGTAGTATGTCTCTGCTTTATCTCACGGTACCTCATAATGAAATCATTGAAATCCTGCGTGTGTATATTTCAGATCTCAGCGTGTTCTTAGGTTAATTATTAATTTTTACAGCAAACAGATCAATTTTCCGTATATGTAGTAGATACACATCTTTTGACCTTTTCTAAGCTTGCATGTTTGATAAAGTTCTATCTTCTATAATATCTGTTTAATTGCGTAATATATAGCATTTAATTATATAAAATGAAATATACCATGACGGTGCTTATAAGGCTGTCTCATGATTTCGCTTACTTGGTGGTTTTGTTGCATGGTGTTGTTGCTTGACCAACATTATCAGCGCTATTTAAAAGGCATTGATAGAAGTCATCTATGGAATAGAGCTGTTGAGGTTTATGTTGGCCGAGAAATATCAATTTTGACATTTGCAGTGCCGAGCAGGGACCGCGGAACAGGGGGGCTGGGGTACCATGCCCCCCCCCCTCACTTTTTCGGAAGACAATAAAAAGTACCAGATAAAATCCAGCTTGCCTGCGTGAAGTAGCTCCCGTGCTGTCCTGCCCCCCCCCCCACACACACACACTTTTAAACAAGCTCCGCGGTCCTTGGTGGCGAGTACAACGAAGTCAACCATGACTAACATTCAAGAAGACGATCATGTAGCTGAAATGTCTAGCTTCGAATTTTTCATTTATCTCACAAGATTATTCTGGAAATATATATGCTTCTATTATTTGGTTATGTATCACTGAATCCAGGGCTTCCCTTAATAATGTGCATGATATATGATATAATTACTCGTGATATGTCGCTAGTGAATAAATCGATAAAAACGGATGGAATTCAGTGTCTTTTTCGCAAGAATTTGACAATCATGCAGTTTCGTACTTTATTGCGCATTTGCGCGTATTCGTTTTAGGCAACCTCGTTCCCCTGAGAACGAGGTTGCATTTTAGGATACCTCTTGCCTCCAAAGCTGTATATCACAACAGATCGAAATACGGAAAACAAAAGTTCCTGTCCTGAAATTGGCGATAGCAACTGCATGGCTTCATAGCCACATTGAACAATTTTTTATAATTATATAATTTTTATACTGACCCAACTCACTAATAATAATGGCAAGATATTTAAACAGTCAAGCTATATTGACCTTCTTACTGTACCTCAATAGATCCTGCAGTTCTATATTGATAATCATGGGAGGAACACAAGCAATATATATTGCTGGCCAACAAGAGTGACAGTTACAATTCTAACGGACGCAAAAGCAACAAACACTAATATATTTGAAAATTGCAACCCCGGATAACGGCGGGTTGCTCCGAAAACTGAATAAAATAGAAAAAAGAAAGATTTAGCATTTCTGAATCTGAGCGTGAAAATCGACCGCAGTCACGCCAATGACTACAATTCTGGACTCACTATCCCCATATGGCGGCTCCTTAAAACAATGTTGGACGTATTTATATAATTACTTTAACCAACCGTATTCTGGGAATCAATATTAGAGAGGTTAAGATACCTCGGTTCCGGTTTTCGGGTACGAGTACCGCCATTTTGTATACCAATTTTTGCTGATTTCAGCAATTTTACCCGTAATTTCTTCCCGTTTCCCCGCGGTAAACCATGGTCTACACGTAAAAGACAAACGGTTACGGGTATTTTCTGTTTACTATTTTTGGGCTGTTTAAATAGTACAAATTTTCAACATCTTACCCAAATAAATAATGCACATATGCTCGTCAAAGTTTTCAACAATTTATGGCGAACCTCAACAGCGAAAGTTGCCATTCTCTGATCGGTTTTCTCACACCGGAGTATCTTGGATCTCTTAAGTTACAAGTTATTCCCCGATTTACGGGTACGTGTATATCATCCGTACCCGGCTTAAACCGGAATCGGGGTATCTTAACCTCTCTATTAAATGGTGGGAACTAAATTTGCAACATTATAGTATTATTTTACGAAATGTGCACAGCAAAAAGTCATTTTCTTACTGAGAAAATATATCTTATCTTAAGAATTTTTTTCTTAAGCAAAGAAAAATTTTCTGATGCGAGGAAAATTTTTCTCATTTTAGGGGACAAAATCTCGACTAGAATTTAATTTCTTAAAATAAGAAATTATTTTAACCCACAGAATTACTCATTTTGATAAAAGAAATTTTTTTCTTGATGTGAGAAAAATTGTTCTTAATATGAGTAAATAATTTCTTGATACAATAAAAGTGATCTTAACTTCTAAAATTCTTATATTATAAGAAAACAAATCTTGATTACAAAATCTTGAACGTTTCTTAAAATAAGAAAACTTGTTTCATTGAAAGACTCACATCCTTGTTTCAAGAAAATTATTTCTTGACATAAGAAAATATTATTGTATTGAACCGAGTACTTACTCTTAATAAATCTTAATTATAACCATGCATATGCATGCAACACAATTTTATTATTTACCATAAACAACTTTTTATATCCATTTCATTTTCCGTCTTACGTGCTTGTAAGAGGCACTATACATGTTGCCGGCCAATCGCCGACTCCACAGCGGACGAAGAAGTTTACTTCATATTGCTGCGTACGCTGTGGCATAGGCAATCCAAAATCCACAAAAGACATTGGGTTGTCTATGGCTTGTCTAATACTGTAGTTATGGTTCATAAGAACCCGAAAAGTGAGTGCCACGAACACAGCACATCTAGGGAACATTTCCAAACAGTATTTGGGGCCACTTGAAGCACCATATTAACGTTTATTCAGCACGAGACATCTGCAACAATTTTTAACATTTTAAAACGGCACTGCTTATTGTCACCCGTGTGTGTGTGTGCCAGTCAATAGTAAAACAAACTAACCCCCCCCCCCGTTTTACCCGCGCTGTATTGATTTTGGAAAAACTGGGGACGAGGCAACTTCGATCCCAGGGTATATGGAAATTAAGGAAACATTTAAATATTTTTAAAAGCAATCAACGCAAGATTTTTGTAATCAAATTCAAATTAAACAAATATGTTATTAAATTTGAATAAATAAATAATTAAAGGTAGGTTACAGTCCCTTCTGCGCATGCGCGGGCTTTG